GCGCAAGTGGTTAAAGGTCCTCACCTCGCACGCCCGGGATCCCATATGGGCGCAGGTTCTAATCCCGGCAGCCCCGCTTCCCTTCCAGCTCCCTGCCTGTGGCCTGGGAAAGCAGTCGAGGACGGCCCAAAGCTTTGGGAACCTGCACCCGCGTGGGAGACCTGGAAGAGGCTCCTGGCTTCGGATCGGCATAGTATCGGCCCGTTGCGCTCACTTGGGGAGTGAATCATCGGACGGAAGATCTTCCTCTCTGTCTCTCCTCCTCTCTGTATATATGACTTTCCAATAAATAAATAAATCTTTTTTTTTAAAAAGATTTATTTTTATTATTTTTTCATTGGAAAGGTGGATATACAGAGAGGAGAGACAGAGAGGAAGATCTTCCGTCCGATGATTCACTCCCCAAGTGAGCCGCAACGGCCAGTGCTGTGCCGATCCGAAGCCAGGATCCAGGAACCTCTTCCGGGTCTCCCACGCGGGTGCAGGGTCCCAAAACTTTGAGCCGTCCTCGACTGCTTTCCCAGGCCACAAGCAGGGAGCTGGATGGGAAGTGGAGCTTCCAGGATTAGAACCGGTGCCCATATGGGATCCCGTGGGTGTTCAAGGCAAGGACTTTAACCGCTAGGCCACGCCACCGGGCCCCCATGTAACACTTTATATGGGGACAGTCCCACGTCCCTTCTCATTCAAACCCCAGGGGAATTCTATGGGGAGGCATTTGGTCCAAAGTATTTAGTTTCTGAGTCTAATTTAGTAAATTTGTTTCCTCTTCTTGAATTAGTCTTCATCTAGAAGGTCTTCCTCCTGCATTTATTCATCTTCTGACAGGACCACAGTGGTGTAGGTTCCCACACACCCGTAGTCTCATCACATGTGATAGGGACATTGATTCCCTCATCGTGGCGCTACTCATTTCTCTGCTATCGAGGAGCATCCCTCTGACATCTTTAGTTTGAGTGGTCTGTAGTTAACTCTCTTCCCTCTGTAGTAAACCTGGGTCTTAGCATTAGTCTAGGGATGTGTGGGATCTGAATGAGTCGTTTTTCTACCAGGGAACCTGGCTTAGCAAGCTCATCTGCAGGTCTGTTTCTTATAACTTTCATAGAATTTGCTCTTTCGATGAACATTTAACACATGGACTCTCCACTTCTTTTGGAAGCCAGAGGCTTTCCTGAACTCACTTTAGTCATTCCCCACATACCAGTTTCTTTTCTCTGCTGGTGCTCAGGATGAACCAACCATGAACAGTTTCATCCTGTCAGCTAGTGGGGCTTCCTGAGACGTAGCCTGACCCTAGTCTGGTGTTGTAGAATATCAGTCTGCAAAACTTTCTGAGGGGGGGGGGGTGTGTGTGTGTGTGTGTGTGTGTGTGTGTGTGTGTGTGTGTGTGTGTGTGTGTGTGTGTGTGTGTGTGTGTGTGTGTGTGTGTGTGTGTGTGTGTGTGTGTGTGTGTGTGTGTGTGTGTGTGTGTGTGTGTGTGTGTGTGTGTGTGTGTGTGTGTGTGTGTGTGTGTGTGTGTGTGTGTGTGTGTGTGTGTGTGTGTGTGTGTGTGTGTGTGTGTGTGTGTGTGTTGGTCCAGGCAACTTCACTGTGCCTGGTGTCTTCTCACCAGAGCTCTCTGAGCTTCCCTTAGTAGTTCCTTTGTTGATTTTCATCCCATGCATCAATTTCTTATCATATCTTTGTGATGTCAGACGAGCCCTTCATGAACAAAATTAACTTTGGAAATCCCACTGGGTCCTCTGGGGCCAGTGCAGAGTATTGTCTCAATTGAGCTGAGTCTGTTGAAAAGCCAAGCGGGGAATCTCCTCTTTTTCCTGTTGAATTTCAAATACCTTAAAGAGAGTTGATGACCCAAGTGCAGATTTATCGATCGCCTTCATTATTGAGCTCTCCGAAATCCCGCATTTGTGCCCACAGACACAGACCCTGCACTCATTTCATATCCAGGATACATCTCAGTCACAGTCATACTTGATTTTGGAAGATACCCAGGCACCGGGGCAGTACTCGCCATCCACTTTTCCTGCACGAGGTTGCCACAGGGCCTGCCTTTTCTGTGCTGCCTCCGTTGTCTTCCAAACAATAACTTGGAGCCTTTCCATGGTTGCTGTTGGGAGATGGGCTCCCCAGCAAGACAGGCCACCTGACACCAGAGAGCGCACATCTTCCCCTCCGCTGCCAGAGTCCTCCCTGTGCAGACACAGAGATCACAGACCCGTCCTCAGGTGTAAGGATTTTCCTCTCCTGGCCATTCAAGAGATTGCCTCGGACTCAGAAAGTGCAGTGAAAGGGCTATTTTTATTATCAGTCTTGCAAGATGGGGTGACTGAGCAGGCAGACCCAGAGTGGTTATAGCAAACAGCAGGGATCTCAGCACACAGCTCCTCCCCTGTCTCCTGGCTGAGCACTGCGGGGGGTACAATCCTCCCGGGTATCACCTAAGTTACAGGGCGGCCTTCCTCTAATTCCCTCTCCCTCACATCCTGTTTGCCTAATGTATTATATGTGCAAGTCAGGTGACAGACATTTTCCATTCTGAAACTGGACCACTCGACATTTACTTCAAGTAAGTAAATAGATAAACTCACATATCGATGGCAACAACATATTATTCAATTCAAAGAGGAATAGACTATTGCTACATTCAGTGACACTGATGCCATAGATTTTTTTTTTTAAGATTTATTTTTATTATTTTGTTTATTGGAAAGGCGGATATACAGACAGGAGAGACAGAGAGGAAGATCTTCCGTCCAATGATTCACTCCCCAAGTGAGCACAACGGCTGATGCTATGCCGATCCAAGGCCAGGAGCCTCTTCTGGGTCTCCCACACGGGTGCAGGGTCCCAAAGCTTTGGGCCGTCCTTGACTGCTTTCCTGGGCTACAGGCAGGGAGCTGGAAGGGAAGCAGGGCAGCCGGGATAGAACCTGCGCCCATATGGGATCCCAGGCGTGCAAGGCGAGGACCTTAACCACTGCGCCACCGCGCCGGGCCCGATGCCATAGATTTTGCTTCATATCAACATGAATTAATCCCGACCAAAATACTACGCACCTAGGGCCTGTATAAAGCTTTAGAGTGTACTTGCTGGCCTACAGTGATAGGTGGCACATCTGTGATGGCCTGGGGATGGGAGGAAAACCTGGAGGGCCCAAGCAGGCACTGGAGGTGCTGACTTATCTCAGTTGTGAATTCCATGGGTTACAAATGTGCCGAAACTTCAGTCATCTGTTTTTAAGATGTATACTTTATATCAGTTATACCTCAGTGGCATTTAAAATGTGAAAATACCTCAAAAAAAAAGTTCATGAAAAATGGACATAAAGGATGCATTGATTTTTGATGCAGCAGCAGGTTCGGTGTGGGGGAGAATGTTCTGCCGCAGCAGATTGGGCCGCGGCTTGGCAGGCCCCGCTTGCGTCTTGGGAGACAGCACATGATGGCTCAAGTGCTGGTGTTCTTGCTGTGCATGTGAGAGGCCTGGCTGGGGTCCCCGACCCCTGGCTTGTGCCAGGCCCAGCACTGGCTGTTGGTGGGCATTTGGAAGGCCTTTGTGTCTTTCTCTCTCCGTGCACCTTTCAAGTGGATAACTACGTAAGCTGACCGTAGCAGAAATCAACACACTATTGTTAAGAGGGTTGACCTCCGTGCATGTGCAGGACTTTGCAACATTTCATGGAAAATGTATATTCCAGAATAACCCTGCCTGGATTTCAAACCCATTTAAAATCCAAGGGCCCTCCCTGTGGAACATGAACTTCGAAACTGCTATGGTGAAGGCTTGCTCCTCCACACGCATTTTGAGATACCCTCGTTTAAATAAACAATGAGATCATCTAGCATCTTCACGCGAAGGACATAGTGTGTTACCATGGATTAATGAAAGGGCCTCGTTTGCGGGTTTGTGCTTCCTCACAGCACCAACGGAAGATACTATGAATTTTTTAAATCCTCAGAATAAATTATGCCTGGTTAATCGATGAAATATCTGTATTAAGAGGACTTCTAATGAGGAACTCGGCCTGAATTCGGAAGAATAGAACATGTGGTGATGGGAACCCGGTGGCATTTGCTTGCCGCATTCCCTGGCCTGGGGAGTTTAATGCAGTTTTACTGTGAGCTCACAGTGCTGCCTGGCACTCCTTGTTCCCAGAATGCACTGTGCCATCCCTTGCTCCGCTGGCTGGTCTGGGCTTTTCTCACCTGCTCGACCTCTCCTTTTTTTGCCCTATGGGGGTAAAATCCTACTGAGCCTTTAAGTATCCTATTCAGATATCACCGTCTATCCTGTGTCTCAGGCAGCAGTGGTCAGCCACATTGCGTCACCGAGTGGACACTGGGCATGTAGTTTGTGCCTTGGGCCTGGCATTGCGTGTCTGCAGGGACCCCTGCCAGTGGCAGCCAGCAGGGAGCTTTGCTCAGGGAAGTCATACCCGAGTGTGTTGGTTGGTTGTGCCATAGCGGAACAGCACAATGAGAGTTAATTGCAGTTTGGGAACTGAGCAAGTGGATCGTAGCACCTTTTCTTTTGGCTGTTGCTAAATACGTTTGATTTTACTTTCGCTTCTGTTTTGTCGTGATTCATGCCCAGGAAGGAAAGCAGTGATAAGGCCAACAGGAGAAAACAGTTGTCTCGATTTTATTTTTGGAGCACATTGTGTGGTTGTGTTTGTCAGGGCAGATGACTGGTAAAAGTTTGTCCCCTCGACATGTTTAGTTGAGCTAACACTGAAACGCCGTGGAGCCTCCCCTCTCTCCTTCCTTCCGCCTGTCCCTGGAACTGGGAGATGACTGCCCGGGAGAGGCGAGATGAGTCTGTGGAGTCAACTGCAGAAACACTTGCAGAATCTGTTTCAGCAGCGTCTTGACACTAAAGTATCCACGCCAAGGAAAGAGCCTAAATTTGGTGGGAGCGTGGATAGTGGGAGAGTTTGGGTGAAAACCATACTTCACATGGTCCACAGCCTTGCTCACCTCCTAAATTTATTTTTCCAGGTCCGAACGCTGTTTGTCAGTGGTCTTCCTCTGGATATTAAACCTCGAGAACTCTACCTGCTTTTCAGACCATTCAAGGTACCTTTTCTGTATTTTAAGACATTGTTAAAGGAGGCAAAAAGACTAGATGTTTCTGACTTCATAAAAGCTTTGTGAGGGAATGAAATAAACTGTTAGAGTAAGCATCCTGTTAGAATAATGTTTTCCAACTTTTACGGAGTAAAGAAGAATGAACAATCGGGTTCTAAGGTTCATTCCCATTGAGCATGGTGCATTCCCGCTTAGGACGATGGGTTGAAACTGCGTCTTATCAGGTGACGCACCATGTCGCCACATCACTGCTAGCTGATGTGTTATCAACTCTAGAACAGCCCATTTGTCCAATTGCACCTGGGGGTTGAAGTGCTACATACAGATAGAAAGTTATGAAGTCTTTTCTGTGTGTTTCAAGTTCAGATGTAATAAGTCAGACTTGATCCCCAAGTGTCTGACTTGTTGGTTCCAAGAGTGCTGCTGAAATTTTAGGCATAAATAACCTATCTCCCTGATTAAGAACCTGCCCACTAGTACTTTTTCCGGCACGAGATTGTCATGAGTTCTAAAGTAAAGTAAAATCTCAATGATAGTCTCATCTGGCTGAGGATAGCATGTTCTGCCATCTAACGGAGTCTCAAACACAGTTGCTGCTTATTTTAGAATAAGATCACTGTAGAGATATTTGATGTTACAGGAATTGAACCTTAACAAGAGATTGGGCAAAGTGGGAATTAAAAACAAATGAGAAAAGAAAAATACAGCTATAGTCCATGAAGAAACCTTCAGGAGTAAGAGAAAGCTAGAGCTGCTCAGAATACGGGCATGGACGGCAGTCATGAGTTTGGGACCTGTGGCCAGGCGATCTGCGTAGGTCAGTGTGGCTACGTCAGCAGTGGTGTCTAGCCTATGGCTCCCTCAATGATGACATGAGCGGCACCCCTAATTTCTGCCATAGGATCCATCCTGGTGGTACCAGGACCTCGGTGGGCAAGACAAGATGGGTTCAGAGACAGGATCCTGACTGGGGCAACACTAGGGTGTGACAGGTGCCAACATTTGCGTTGGAGAAGAGGAAGCAGAATGGGGGAGCAGCTCTTCCTGCTAACACTTGATGGGAAACCTGTACCAGGAAAGGCCAGGCCACAATGGCTCCAGCTACGTTCTGATAGCTGTCCCCTCAAGGGAATGAAACTGATAACCTCACTGGGGAAATAAGGAATAAGCCCCTGGGTTCAGAGGAAGTGGGAAAGGAAGAGTATGGTGGGTCAGGTGGCAGCTTTTAGGATGGCCTCAGTTCCTTCGGCAGGGCTGCAGTTTCACAAAAGGGGCAGCTCTCTGCATAGGATGGATGAGGACTTTGTCAGCTCAACAGACAAAATCCAGCAACGATGTTGTGTAAAGAATAAGCGATGTAGCCAACCAGCCTCCCGCCCTAGTAGGGATGATCTAATTTCTCATCACAGTCCTTTGAAGTGGGTTAGCCCTCCTTCCCTTTATTTAAAAAAAAAAAATTAAGGGAAATAACACTTGGAGCAATTGTCTAAATCATGCCCAAGTTTACACATATCATAAAAGATAGGTCCAGAACTCAAACCCAAGACACCTGATGGCACCTCTGGGCCCCTGCTGTGTTTTGAGCTGCCATGTTCATTACCATTGAACGTCTCATTTGAGAACAGCATGCTGTTGGGTTTGAGTGAAATACCCATCTCTCCCTTGCCATAGTGGCCTTCTGAGTTGAGGGTCTCCAGATCTTTTTAAAAAGACAACACCTTGAGAAAAAGAAGCAGCAGAGCTGTGAGTCATTGTGAGTGTGGCCGGCAGAGCCCAAGGCCACTTGGGCAGCATGTTTATAGCAGGTAACTGGTACCGGCGCTGGCCTCTGCTGCCCGAGATGTGAGTGAGTCAATTCCAGCCTCCTGCCCAGAAACCTCAATGCCGAAGGCAGGACCCTGCTGCATTCCTAATAACCTTTTCTGAATTAGAGTCGCTGCACGGTGACCCTTGCCTACAAATCTGCCTGCGGGCTGACGTATGCAGTGGTCAATCACGTCAAGTGGTGTTTTTCTACCCGCCTTCTCGGGGTCATCCATCAGTACCAGCCAGCAGATGTTGATTATTTTTTTCAGAAACACACTTCAGCTCCCTTTAGGCTGAGGCCCTCCTAGGCTTGGAGAGAGAGAATGACCGAGGCTGAGTGATTCCCAACTTCTTTAAGGAAGTAAGCTAAAGGTTTAAAATATTAAAAAAAAAAAAAAAAAAAACAAGGAAGTTATACAGGACACAGGTTCCTTTCTGGAGGCCAGAAGCCACTGTGTAAGACCAGCTGCTGTGGTGGTTGTACAACATACCCCAAACAGACACAGCACAGTACACAACGCGGTACACAGTCACCGGCTGCTGCACCTGCTCTGGTGGCTGCAATGTAACCGTACCTCCTGTGTTCTTGGTATTCTTTGTCATCGTTTGCCAGCCCGGGTGTCACTGAGTCACGCCTGCTCCCACCTTCCTGTCTGTTATCCCATGTCCTTCCTCCCCTTGCCATTCTCTAAAATCCCCATCATTTACCTAGACTAAGAAACGAAGACCTGTTGTTGACACACACACTCCTGTTCTCCTGTGTCATTTCATGAGAGAATACGAGAAAGGGAAAGGGGAGTGTCAGGGCTGGCCTTGGAGGAGGCCCGGATGCACTCAGGGTCGCCTGTGTGTGTGTGTGTGAGGGCGGGGTTAGGAACTGCTTGCCCCCAGCTAACTTTGGGAATGTGTGAGGAGAGTTTGGTAGCTAATAATTACGAGATGGTATTACAGTTGCTTTCCCCCCATCTCCCAGTACTTTTTTTTAATCTAAAACTTGGTTTCTCTTTCTTTTCAGGGCTATGAGGGGTCTCTCATAAAGCTCACATCTAAACAGGTAAGGATTTTGAACTTTGACAGGAATGAACACACTTTGACTTTCTTTAGCGGTGTCACGGTGGCTGGGCATATTGTAAAATTACAGTTAGCATTTGATTTTTTTTTGTTTGTTGCTTTAAAATGAAGGGTGAGCCCTGATTAGGTATTCACATAGAAAAATGATGCAGGATTTCCTTTTCGCCACCTGGGATGTCTGAGGCTGTCCCATCAGAAAGCAAGTGGATTTCTTGTTTCAAACAAAATGATGGGTTGTGACCCAAGTTCATTTCTATTCCCAGTTCTTCTTACTGTTCCTTGTTATGATATTGAATAGGTGAATGTTACAATCCATATGACTACCAGCTGGTGGCTGGTGAAACATCGTGCTGTCAAAGCCCTAACACCCAGAGGCCAAGTCCCAAGTCTAAAGCAGGGCAGAGCAGAGAAAGTGCCAAAGCTTGGTAGGCAGTGGAGATAGCTTTTCCTTTCCTTTTTCTTTCTGTTCTCCTTCTTTAAGAAAAAAAAAAATATTTTTATTTGAAAGGTAGATTTTATGGAGAGAGAAAGGGAGACAGATTCCCTCAATCTCTGGCTTACTCCCCACGTGACCACAATGGCCAATGCTGAAGCATTCTGAAGCCCAGCATCTTCTGGGTCTCCCACGTGGGTGCAGAGGCCTAAGGACTTCAGCCATCATCTGCTGCTTTCCCAAGCATAGGCACGGGGCTGGATTAGAAGTGGAACAGCCGGGAATGGAACCGGTGTCCCCGTGGGATGTCAGCGCTGTAGGCTGTGGTCTAACGTGCTATGCCACAGCTCCCACCCCTGTTGCGTTTAAGTAAGCTGAACACTTGACATACTCTCCTCAGTCACATCATCTCTCTGAGGTTCATCAAAATGAAGCTACTTTGCAGGCAGGCTTCTGCCCTGAAAGATCAGAGTCCTCGAAGGGATGGCGACCTCCATCTGCTGGCAACCTTGTGGTCTAGAGGATGTATCTGTAGAAGGGGATTTGAGGTAGAAATGTTACCATTTATTATGCAGTGAGAGGGCCGGGCTTTTGTCATTGTGTCATTGTATTCCTTGCACTTACAGTGTCCCAAAAGGTGACTGGGTTCTCTTTCCATTTTAAAAGATGAAGAAACCTGAGGTACAGTGAATTTGACTTAGGAAAGTAGAGCCTCTCCGACCCAGGCTTCCGCCCCTCTCTCGTTCACCGCTGCTCACCTCGCAAGCACTTCTCGATTTGTTTTATGATTCTCTGGATCCCTGGCTGTGCCCCCTGAAGAAGCACCCCCACCATCCCTTTGATTCGTGGTAGAAATTTGGCTAAGCCACTCCGTCCTGGTTCTTGGGGACTGGCTTTCTTACACCTGCCCGTTGCCTGTGGTCATTTTCAATATCTCGGCTCTGGGGTTTGACGTCACTCTCGGCTCACAAAAAGGGACAGCCCCTGATTTCTTCCTGCTCATGTCCTTTCTTTCTCTTTTTTCTCTCAGCCTGTAGGTTTTGTCAGTTTTGACAGTCGCTCAGAAGCAGAAGCCGCAAAGAATGCTTTGAATGTGAGTACGCACTAATTATGTGATCAAGGGAGTTTGCTGATGAGGCGGGGGAGGGGAGCGTAGAACCTTCTAGAAAAGAAATGGAACAAAGTGATTCTGAAGTGTTGCGGGAAGGGGGGGGCCCTCTGTTCAGACCTCTAAAGAGCTTTGTTCCAAGAATCTGGAGCAAATGTGTCCATTATTAAATAACATTTCCCTTTTTGTGGGCCTGTGTTGAAAATGCAACAAGTGTCTGAATCTCACCTGTCAGCACAGTGGTGTATGACCTTGATTTTGCATCTCAGCGCGGAGTGTGGGCTCCAGGTCTGCCTAGGCTATTGTCTTCCTCTGAGTGGCCACAGCCAGGATAGATTAAGGTCTTGATTTTTCTGGTTTCATGGACTTTTCCTTTGAGTTATATGGCCCTTAAAGAAAAAAAATCAGGTAATAGTCTTTTGTGGCTGATTAAAGATTGGCATGTACAGTTTCCCCAAAAGCCATTCTGCGTTGTAACATAATAAGTTATAATCTGTCATGAGGAGTGAGGCTGGTCGCTTGTGTTTGGTTTGTAGGCTTCTTGCCTGTCTTCCGGTTTTGAGGTTTTCATCGGCATGGGCTTAAAAATCATTCCAGCTTGTCGAAAAACAAAGCACCTTAAGAGAATGAACTTAGCGAAGGAATGAGGAAGCAGAGTGCAGTTCCTGGTGATGAGGTTAGCAGTCTCGGTGGAGTCAGGCTTGACACGCTCCAGGCAGAAGTAAGCGTTCACTAAGGCAGTGCAGAGCAGCTAGGCTGCATCCCAAAAGGCCAGCAACCACGGGAGAGGTCGTAACCCAAGTGCCGCCGCGCAGGTTTCTGGGCACTTGGTTCAACTGTGGCACCTGCAGGTGCACCTGCCAGCTGGTTATTCTGACGACTCTGAGGTCCAATGTGATGTGATGGTGTCACTGTGACACACTGTTGAAACCAAAAACTCAGTTGAATCATTATTCTTCAGTTTTCATGTAAAACATACAGAAATGTCTTAGGACACCCAGAGCTCCACAGCGCCCAGAGTTTTTCCTGGATTTGGATATACCATTGCTGGCACACTCATTCTGTTTGTCTGCGACAGGACAAAATGTTAGCCAGACCCCAAGCAGTGCACTGAAGCATGCATTGTCAGTTCTCATATTTCATGAATAGGACCCCAAGTTTCTCTTAGCCATTCAGCTACACTTTGTGTGCGCACAGTGTTCTGTGTTGTTTTAGCTGCGTGGGCATCTTTCTCAATGCCAACCTATGCAGGATCCCTTCCTCTCCTACTAGGTAAAGCTCCCTGTGTCCTTTCCTTGTTTTAATGAAGCCTTGCTTTATTCCTGCCATGAGAATAAAGCAGTCACAGGCTCACTCTCTGAGAACAATAGGCCTTTTAGAATGACCTCTGGTCTCACAAAGCAATATTCCCTCATTCCTTAGGGGCAAGGTGGTTTTGTCTTTTCTTGTTTTTGGTGCTCCAGGTCCCGAAAGTAATGCCTTTGAAAGTGTTTAAATGGTACCACTCACAAACTGTGTCTTGTCATTACTGTAAAGAAGACAACAAACTCGAATGTTCCCAGTATCCAGGAGTTCTCATTCCCCGCCAAGGTGTTTAAGCTCGTGTGCCCCTGTGCCCGCTGCTGGAATTGCTAGTCCGCCTGCTTTTCGTTTTGCCTGCCTGCACTGGCAGCAAGCTCACATTAATACAGGTCTTGCTGTAACTAAAACAGCCCTTGTTCGGTGTGTGTATGGGGGGCAGGGATTGGGACTCCTCACGCTTTAACCTGGGCTTTCTCCTGCACGGGCGAATTTGTGTGCGGAGGAGAGAGTTTTCTGAGCTTCTGGCTAGAGTGTCTTGACTTTTGCTCAGAAAATAGCAGAGGTGCCGGCTTCAGGACTGCTGCTAATGGTCCCATTGCAGAAACAGACCTAGAGAGTTCTGTGTGTGGTTCAGTTGGCTGGTGAAGGGCTTACAGCAGCCACGCGTGGGAGCCTGCTGCAAGGAAACCAGCTGTGTCACCCTAATCCGTTTCAAGCAAGATGCTGTGTTTCTGGTGTGATCTTCCGTTTCTCCGGGCGACACCAGCAGTCCGTTTAACTCACTATGACCACAGTGAAGTGTGGTGTATGACCACGGAGCGAGCTTTTGTTGCTTTGCAGGAATTACGCCACCACCACCCCCCTGCCCCTGGCACCTCTGCCCCGCCCTGTTCAAGGTAATGTATTTAATCATGAAATTTGCATTTGTTTCTTCTGACCCAACAGGCTTAACCTCATGGTCATATTTTCTAATGGATGAGTTACAAACATGGGATGCTTCTAGCCATTATAACACCAGGCGTCTCTTGAAAGCTGTTCCTTGCATTCCTTTGCAAAGGCTTGAGTGTTGTCATGTTTTGTTGCTTTTCCACTGTTGAGCAACTTTGAAAGTCCCACTGCAGTAAATCGCTGCATGCAGAAGATTTCACAAAGCTCTAAACCCGCCTCTCCGTGTGTGGAGCTGCTTCTCTGATTAGGGTTCCCCTGTCTTGGTTACTGGCTTATTCGGGTATCAGTTTTAATAATTAAAATGATTTTTTTTCCTTTCATTTTGGGGCTGTGCCCAGGTCTGTTTGATAACTTTATGGAAAAACATGCCCAGATTGAAGTTGGTGATAGCACTGAACTTGTTTTCCTGACGTTGCTCAGACCTTGTAAAGTAAATACAGCATGGCTTAGTTTTTATAGTGAAACTCCCAAATTAGGTTAAGAATAAGCCGAAGCCAGACTTCGCTCTGTGTTATCTGTGGGGCCATTAATCCACATGATTAGGAACCACATGCCTTCTTTAACCTGGCAGTAAGGCATCCGATCTCTTGGTGTGCCTTCAGACATGTTTGTACTGCCAGTTCTTTCATTTCCATGCCAGTGGGAGGAGGGGCTGGGAACATAAAGCTGTCATCCGAGTTCAGGGGTTTCTTGGCACTTCTGGAAGGTAAATCAAATGCAGCACTGTTTGGACTGGGCTGGGTTAGTCAATATTCTGCTTTGTGGAGAAGCACAGACCCTGAACAGTTGCAGAAAAATGCCATCATGGGGACATTTCCGGACACCATGAGGACCCCAAAATCGCCATGGTTTCCCAGCAGAAATCTTGTTTTAATGCGTGTGCTAGGTTGACAGCTGACTTCAGACAACAGCACATGGAAATTGTCTTCATCAGGGTGTTTGGAAAGCACTCACCCACAGTACTTGAGAAGGTTTTGTAAATGCTGTTTGATTCATCACCCCTCGTCGTCTGATTTTAAATAATCGTGGTTGGGCTTGATTTTATCTTAAACCCTACAATAAGTTATCTCCAACATGGAGAAGTCTGATCGAATCAAGTTATATAAATTCATGCGAAATACCATCACAAAGAATTGTAGCTTTTGATTAGTGCACCTAACTTGCTTTACCCTGAAGTTCTTGCTGACCTAAGCGATCTTAAATTATCAGTACCTTTCCAAGTCAGTGTCTTATTTAAAGCTTTGTTTGTATACATGCAGTTCATCCATTTCTAACGTGTAAAGCCCAAAGGCTTTTTTGGTATGTACATTATTTTTAAAATTGTGATAAGATATTTATAACAATTCCGTGAGTGCAGCAGTTTTATGATGTGCATTTCATTGGTATTGGTTGTTAAGTAACTGTCGCCGCTGTTTCCAACCCTTTTTGATTTACATAAGCAGAAATTGTATGATCGTGAAGCGGCACCACCCTATTCTCTCTTGCTTATCGCCTCAGTTGCCTGCAGTCTGTTTTTTTCCTCTGCTCAGTATTGATACAGCTTTCCTTGTATTTCTGATTCCTTTTCATGGCATGATGCTTTTTGAGGTTCATCCACACTGACATTTATCAGAATATTAATCTCTGTCTGTGGCTGAGTAGTATCCAATTGCATGGACACACATTTTGGCGATTGGTGAGCGCTTGGGCTGTTTCTGCCTTTGAGCTATTGTAACTGACACTGCAGTGGGCATTGCCACAGAGGTACCTATCTCAGTCCTTGTTTTCAAATCTTTTGAGTGTACACTTAGACACAGAAGTTTTGGATTGTATGGTGATTATAGTTAGCCTTTTCTTTGAACAAAATTAATTGAAAAGCAAAGTTGAGTTCTCTGCTTACAGTTTATCAAGTAAAGCCTCTACCTGCCGTGCTGGCATCCTATATGGTGCTGATTCGGTCCTGGATGCTCCACTTGTCGTCCACTTCCGTGCTAATGTGCCTGGAAAAGCGGTGAAGGATGGCCCAGGTCCTTGTCCCTGTACCCACAATGGGAGAGGTGGAAGAAGTGCCTGACTCCTGGTTTTAGCCTGGCCCAACCCCAGCTATTGTGGTTATTTGGGGGGAGTGAACCAGCAGATGAAAGATCTTACTCTCCTCTGTATAAATATGCCTTTCAAAAAAAAATAATCTTTTTTTGTAATTTTTTTTTTAAAAAAGGGAAGTTGGGCCCAGCGTGATGGCACAGTGATTAAGGTCCTCGCCTTGCTCGCCTGGCATCCCATATGGGCGCCGGTTCTAATCCCTGCGGCCCGGCTTCCCACCCAGCTCCCTGCCTGTGGCCCAGGAAAGCAGTCGAGGACGGACTGAAGCTTTGGGACCCTGCGCCCACGTGGGAGACCCGGAAGAGGCTCCTGGCTTCAGATCGGCATAGTATCGGCCATTGTGCTCACTTGGGGAGTGAATCATCGGACGGAAGATCTTCCTCTCTGTCTCTCCTCTCTGTATATCTGCCTTTCCAATAATAAATAAATAAATAAATCTTTTTTTTTTTTTTTTTAAAAAGGAGGAAAGTTATAGAGAGGAAGAGATAGGGAGATACATCTTGATTTTCTGAATCACTCCCAAAATAGCTGCAGTGGCCTGCACTGGGGCGGGCTGAAGCCAGGAACCTGGAACTCCATCCTGGTCTCCCACATGAGCCATCATTTACTGCTTTCCCCGGCTCAGTATCAAGGGGATGCAGAGACTTGAACCA